TTTTCTCTCCATCTGTTCCTTTTAAACACTGCATTTCACTCCACACTCGAAGGGATCGACACTCGCGTGCTTGTACCAAGGTAGTACGTTGGCGACCAACCACAGCCGCCGGGTGATCTTCAGAGAACCCACGTTCCATCCGGTCCCAAACCTGTCTGACCGTCCAGTGGCTGCCATCTGACAGCATCCAACCCCAACTGCACGTGCGACCCTCAAGGAGCAGTCCTGCCCTCTGGACTCGCCTCCACCACACCCCCCTCCGCCCCACTCCCACTGCCCATCCTTCCCACAGCAGGACCTTGGCTCGGGCTGTTACCACTGCCTGGTGGCCCCTTCCCCGGTCCTCCCCCAACTTAGTCCTCATGCCACTCTGGGGTCAGCACAAACAGAGCTCCTACACGAGGCCTTTCTTGCCCACCGATCTGAATGCCCCAGGCCACTCAGCCATGTCCTGTAGTTAGTTTTATTTCCCTGTTTTTCTTTCATGTCCTTCATCTCTAGAATACATAGGAGCCACCTGTCCAAGTCACCACTCCCCCTGGTACAAAGGCCAGAGGTGCTCAGTACACACTCGCGGGGTCAATCAAAGTGTTCACAAAGAGTCCAGCTTCGTGGGGCCCGAGACAAAGCAACCTGCTCTAACAGGCCTCTAATGAGACTCTTTAAACAGGCCACCCCTTCCTCCCACCTGGTCTCCGAGGGCTGCCCCGGCACCGCCCATGACAAAACCAGCCCACCACTCAGACTTGGAGACTCATCTGCTCCTCACGGTCACCCACGCCGGAGGCCTCATGGTCAGGGTGCACCTCCCTGCCTGTGGCCAGCTTCTCCTTCAGGGGAGGACAAAACCATCTGTCAGCAGGATCATTCCAGAAAATGGCATCTCATCCCAATGACCTTTTGGAAAACTACCCCTAGACCTGGGAACCCCGTGCCATACAATTGAGATTCCAAACGGAGCAGAATAATCCAATAACCATTACTGTGCAAAAGGCCGGACACATTTACCTCACAGCATCACCCTGGGGACACCACAGGCAGTCCCTGACGCCAAGAGCCCATGGGCCACCTAATTCCCATCTGCTTCCTGGTGGCTGTCCAACTGTGCCCGCGGGCCTGAGTTCCCATCAACACATCGAGGGCGCTCTCTGCTTTACCAGGGTTAGTCTCTGTTGTTTGCGACCCGGGAAACCCCAATCGACAGTCCCTCAGGAGTCCCCAGCTGGTGTCCAGCACCGTGGCCTCACCGGCATTCAGGCCTCTGGTCTTCTGGCTGCCAGAGCCATTTGGCTACATGGTCATCAGCCACCTCGGAGCATGTCACTCATCCCCAGTGGGCCAACAGGGAGGCCTGGTCCTCACAAAGACCCTCACCCCTCCTTCCAGCCTCTTCCCCCACTGCCCCTGGCCTCGGCCTCAGCTCCAGAGCTCTAACCCGCAGCTACCTCCTCAGCCCCAGGTTTTGCTGCCTTCCCTCGGCACTGCAAGGCCAGCTAAGCCTGAGCACCACCACCTCCTCTAGACCCAGCTCGACGCTCCCTCCACCTCCTCAACTCACAGACGTGCATCCCAGTGCAGTCCGCCTGCCCCCAACCTGTGAATTCCTGGATGACAGCCACTGGGTCATCCTCTCTCCATCCTGACCAAATAATGGGAGCCGAAAAAATCTTTGTTAGGTGCTAAATGATTAAAAGCACCATTCACTTTGAAAACCCCGGGTTAGATGCAACAATTGTGCTTTCATTCTCTTCCTTCCACCCACACTTCAGAATTGCCCTCAAATTGAGCATTCTGAGGAAGCGGGCAGTGCTCCGCCAATCTTGAAGGATGGGCTTGATGCTTCAAAGCTGGGACTCGCGCTGCTTTAACAAGCTCGGAGGCCACCGCCGGCTGCACTGCCTGATGGCTCTCCATCACGAGGAGCCGTCTCAGACTCTCTGGCTACCTTCCTGTAAGCCTCAAGTGAAGGGCAAAGAGGCCACCCATCTAATACCAACGTGGGCACAGACAGAGAATCTGCAAAATATTAATAGCACAGGTCTAATGAACCCAGGGTGGGCTCAAGCCCACACGGGGCTCCCGAAAGGTTGGGTAGTTGAGTCTTCCTCAGACGGGCAGCCCAAGTCACAGCTGCCCAGCACCCAAGTCTCCTCCTCAGATATGAGGAGAGTAATGCAGACAGATTCACTCTATAAACACGGGTGGGGCACCCACAGTATGACTGGTTCTCAACAAGGCATGTCGGGGAAGAGCCCCACACCCCTGTGCAAATCATAGACAGGTGATGTGCAGAGTGCTCTGGGGGAGTCTGAAGCCCCAGCCCCTGGGGTGATCACCCTGACCCTCCACGGCTATTGAACTTCCCTTAGCTTCAGTTTTCAAATACAAAAAATGAGGAGTTCATGAGCTTGAATGTGTAAATGTGCCTGAAACAGAGTTAGAGTCTCAGAATCAGGGGGCCTTCAGGGGCTTCCACGCTCAATTCTATCAGAGCCAGAATTTTCCCCTAAATAGACTTCATGTTCCCTTCTGCCACCCAGCACGCTCTGCACAGGTCAGCAATCCCGGAAGGGGCTGGTATGGCCATCACTGCATATGTGGCCACAGACTCCAGGGCCAGCCACAACACCCCTCCAGTGCTGGTGACCCAGGGACACACAGTTCCTCCCAAGTCCTCTTGCTATGCAAACTCAGTTTATCAATTTCTACCCTGAAACCCAGCCCTGCTGAGTACTTAAGCACTGACCAGAGACCTCCCACTTGGAGATAAGTGTCAACCTCACCAAGGAGCAGCTGTTACTCACACGCACAGCACCTTGTCCCAATGCCCCCATCGCCTCTTTCAGAGGAGAGGGAGTCCTGTGTCTCCATCCAATCTCATCACCATTTTCTTAAGGGAACCAGCTGATTTAATTATTTTCTTTCTACAAAGCCTTTGTCCTCCACCCTGACTGAAAGTCCAGAAACTAGTAATCTTTACTTTCAGAGTTCAAGGAAAGGTGACATCTTGGTGAACAATTCTAAGAGGATTTTGCTCTCCTCCAATAAAATATTCTCGGGATTGGATTTCCGAAGAGTCCTGTTTTCATTACTCCCCTTGGATACACCCAGTAACCAGCTTCCATGTCATGAACCAGCTTCATGGTGAACACAGCCCCTCTTCACACAGCTACTGCTTTGGAAAACCCACACCCAGGCAGCGAGCTCAGGCAGAGGGGCCCCTCTGCAGGGTTCCAGCAGGCCATTCAGCTCAGGGTGGCCCCAGGGCTTCCCACCCAGTGCCCCAGGAACTAGCAAAGTTATGCAGTTCCTGGATCCCGGGAATGCACCCTTAACTGGGCAAAGCCATCAAGCTTCCAGCCCAGGAGAAATCTGAATTGCCACCTAGACTTCAGTCAACAACTCCTGCACACAGGTAGAAATAAAAATGGCCTCCAGGAACTTGGTGGGTAGCTCAGAGGCAGAAGCTTGCCTTGCCTGCAAGAGGCACTGTGGGGGATAAAGATCAACCCCGCCCTACATAAGGGGAATGGAACCCACCTGCAAGCCCAGGGGAGCTGAAGTTGCATTTCTATGAAAATCATGTCCTGCTCTGGCCTCAAGATAATTTCACACCAAATGGCCTTACAACCTCTTCCAAAGCTGTGATACCGGAACTGAGGGGAATTTTTTTTAAAAAAACATTGCAGCTGAAAGTCAGTAGTTAAAGAAGCAGAACATAAGTTCTTCTATGTCCTCAAATCTGTCCATTCTTTCGAGGGAAGGTCATCTCAACTCTACTGCAGAGGTTGTGCAGGCCACTGTAGAATGTAGTTATTATCACCACAAATGAGACTAAAGCGTCGCACACAGCCTGCACCCGGCTGCCATTCTCTGAAAGTGTGTGTGTGTGTGTATACGCGCGCCTGTCTCCCCCACCTACCTCCACCCCACGCCGCCCACCCCCCAAAAAACAGGCTCAGGGCCTGGGGATGGCGCCCCAGTCTTGGCACCCAAGGAACTGCAGGCACTGCTTCACCTGGAAGCCGAGGGCTGGGGCACATTGGAAGAGAGGTGCTTTCCTCACACACTCCCAGTCCACGCAAAATAAGCAAAGGGGAGTAACGCCCGGGCTGGGGGCCCAGGGCGCACGTGGCTGGCGCCTGGAGGGCTGGCCCCTGCCCTCCGTGCACCCTGCGCACCACCTGCCGATCCAGCCCGGGCCCGGGCCGGCCCAGAACTACCTGCTGCTGCCTGGGCGCCCTCAGGCCAAGTCTGAGGAAGTTCACTCCCCGTCGCGCCGGTCTGCGGAGCCCGGGCACCTGCGGAAACCCGGACCGTCCCGGAGAGCCGGCGGCCGACCCTGCCCGGGCGCTGGACTCACCAGGCTGCCGGGAGCCCGCAGCCAGCTCCCAGAGGGGCCTCCCAAAGCCTCCGGGTGACCCCGCGCGTCCCAGGGCCCACCGACTAAGGGCCGGCCGGCGCGAAGAGCGTGCGTCGGGAGGGCCAGCAGCTCGCGCTGGGGGCTGGAGATGAGGGCACCCTGCGTCCCGCCTCCCCCATCGCCATGACTCCGGCTTCCCGGAGACCTGCATGTCGCCAGAGCTCCCACCTGGGCTGCGCTGCGGCTCCCGGCCCCCTGCCCTGCCTTCCCACCGCCGGGCGCCCGCGGTCGGGGGCGCGCAGCCGGGTGGCCGCCGGCGCCGGGGACTCGGCGAGCTGTGCCCAGCCTCCAGCCTGCACGGTGCCGGGACACCGAGTGAGCCGCAGCCCTGCCCCAGCTTCACGCCCCCGGGCGGCAGCCGGAGGCCAGCAGGGAGGGCAAGGTGGCTGCGGCGGCCCCCAGCCCGGCCGGCGGGTGCGGCGGGTGCCGAGTGTCGGTGCCAACAGGTACGGGAGGCGCAGCCAGCAGCCCGCCCGCCCACTCTGGGACAGGGGCCCGCCACGGCCGGGTGGGGGCTCGGTGGGGAGGGGCGCGGGCGGAGGGAAGAGGCAGGGGAGCCGCAAGCGGCGGCACTTACCTCTCGCTGGGCCGGGGCCCCGCAGCCCGGCTGCCGAGGCGCCTCCGCGAGGCGCGGGGCTTCCTCCGAGGCCCGCAGGCAGGGGGCGGCGCGGAACCGAGGCGCCGAGCGCAGCGCCCGCCTCTGGCTCACACCCCCAGCCGGCGGCCTCGTGCCCGCGCCGGCATCCTTGCTGCCGCCGGCTCCCACCGCGCCCCCGGGCCGCTCCCCACGCGCGCGCCGGGCCGGCGCGAGCCCCTCGTCGGCTGGGAGCACGATCCGGGCGCGCTCCTCCTGTCCTTGTCCTCTGCTCCCGTCTGGGGACGTGCGCCCCGCACCCCCTGCACCGCGCACTCCTCTACCCCTCCCGCTCCCGCTGGCCGCGCGGGCTCAGCCCATGTGCGCGGCTGCCTCGCTGCGCCCTGGAGCCCAGTGGCCGAGGCCCCGCCGGAGTTGCGCGCCCTAGAAACTCCATGCAGCTCTGGCCTCCTCCCCGGCTCCTCCCTGGCGGCCCCCGGGGCCTCGCGGCCGCCCGCACCGCAACCCCCGCCCTGCTCTTGCAGGAGCTGGGTTTCTGGGCCCGCTCCGCCGCCCGCCGCCCGGCTGCTCCGAGGGTCGGGGAGCCCCCACCCCAGCCCCTAGCCTCTCCAATGGCTCCCTCGGTTTCCAGGCAGCACAACCTGAGGAACGCCTTGGCGCGCGCGCACTCACACTAGCGCACACACACGCACTCTGCACATACAGACAGACACACGCGGGGGGCGAGCTGGAGCTTGGCAGACGGTACTCCTTCCTTTCCTCCCCAAAGAAGCTGCCCACGTTAACTCTGGCAAACTGCTGTTTCTGGGCATTGGACAACTCACCGGAGCACCTACGACCTTAACTACTTCATCCCCAGCGCCCACGCCCTATAGCCACAATTCACCTGAGTCAGGTGCAGGGAAAGGGCAGAACACCAGGGTGGAAGGGCTAGCCGCACAAAGTAGAGGAGGAGGTGAATGACAGTGCCACTCCTGGCATGTTCTGGGGAGGCATGCCCAGCCAGCCTGCCTCTGATCCCAGCCCCCTGGAGCCCGAGCACACATGGTGTGGCCCCCACGTCCTCCAAGGTCACAGAATGAATTTTGTGAGGGAGAGAAGGCTCTTGGGTGCAGGTGAGAGCTGGACGTCTCACAGACCACAACCTGCCCTGGCGTTGACCCCCCTCAAGTCTCTTCCCAGGCAGACCCTTGTCTCCCCTGCCCCATGCCTCAAGGGAAAACAGCCTACAGTTACCATTTACCTCCCCTGTTCCCATCTGTCTCCCTCCCTGTGCCCAGGAACTGACAGAATACACAATGCCACCAAGGTGTATGTTGTCAGGAGAAAAATGGAAATCCCAGGCTGTCTCAGCTCATCCACAGACAGACTCAGACACCTGCCAGTTCCTTCCTGTTCCTTGCAGGGGTGTGCTGGAGCAGGCTAGTATTTCCTCACACCACCCCCCTTTCCAGGGTCCCAGTTTCTTGCCCCCTCTGTGTGGTAGAAGGACTGCTCACCAGCTCAGATGCCTCCACTTCCCAGAATCAAAGAAAAGACACATGCAAAGCAGGCTGCGTGGCTCTAAGTCGCTCCTCCAGGCAGCTCGGCAATCGCCTCTCCACTGCCTGCTTCAGCTGCCAAGGGAGTTTGGGCATGGGCACTGCCAGCCAGTGACACAAGTTAGTCAGGGTGCCCTCCTGTCTGTGCTTCTGGCTTGCAGCCTGGGCAGTTCTGACTCCCTGTAGTGCTCTTTGCAGGCACTACATGGTCGGCATTTAGTGTTTGCTACCACATCTCTTATGGTCCAGACCCTCCTTCCAAATTATCACCTTGGGCCACTGGTTGAGTTTTATGGACCTAGTTCAGAGATGTGCATAAAAGAGGTTTCCATAAATGCTTTCAGGAAGAGGAATAGAGTTCAAGTCTCCATATGATCTTTCTCTCTGAGTCCTGAGTTTGCATAACAGCTGCATCTTCCAACCATGGGCTGCCTCTGTAAGAAATTGTTTTGTTGGGGCTGGGGATGTGGCTCAAGTAGTAGTGCACTCGCCTGGCATGCATGAGGCACTGGGTTTGATCCTCAGCACCACATAAAAGTGAAATAAAGATATTGTGTCCACCTAAAGCTCAAAAATAAATATTTTTTTAAAAATTGTTTTGTAGCTGGATTTAGCACAAGTACTCCCTCCAACCAGAGCCCTGTGGCAAGTCCATAGATATGCACGGAGGTCCTGGTAAAACTTAGAGGCCACCCATGTACCCAGGATTGGGCACATCAGGCCTGCATTCTTAATCTGCCCTCCCTTAATGCCAGTGTGAATCTGTACATCTGATTTGCTCTCTTTAAATCTCACTGTCCTCATCTATAAAACGGGGTCCATTATAGGACAGTCCTACGACGTCCTTGTAAAGACTCAATGTGCTCACGTGAAATGACAGCTCACTCAGATAGCTCGGGTCCAGGCATGAAGCAAGCCTTCAACAAAGGCCACTATCAGTAGGCAGTCGACACACATCAAAGACATTACCTTGGGAGGAAAAAATCAAGGATCTCTTGCCCCAGAACACTAGGCTCAAGGACCTCAGGACCTAGAGAGGCAGGGTGAAAGCCCTGGATAGGCATGGCAGGTGCCGTTTCTCGGTCCTCACCAACTAGGACCACCCTGAGGTTTCCAGGTGAGGGAGCCGCGGGTTCACAGGACCTGACACCCTGCTCCAACTCATCTCACACATATCCTTCCTATGAAAGTGCCAAATAAAATATTTTACTAATTACAGAATGGAGGCGAAAATCAACATAGAGCAAAAAGAATAGAAGGGAGTTCCCTTTATCACGCCTTTGTAGCTGGATTTAGCACAAGTACTCCCTCCAATCTAAAATAACTCAGCCCTCCAGGAAACAGCTCGGAGTAGACTTTGTAACTTAGTCCCCCCCTGCCTGAGCTTTGAGCCCAGCATCACACAGTCAGACATGGGCAACTGCTACCTCCCCAGGGCGGATCATTCTCTGAAGGGGCCAAAGTCATTCCCACCTCTGGTTCTCCTCCCCTATCTATCTTTTCTTTTTTGCTTTGTCATCAATCAATACATCTACTTCAAGTGCCTGAGACAGGCAATGGGAGATGGTGATGAAGGGACCCACTGCACTCTGAATAGAAATAGAAATTTTAAAAGTCCTTGAGCAGTATAAGCTGGAGGGTGATGGTTTTCCTACACTTCTTCCAAGCATGGAATATGGACCACTTTGGGTTTTTCATAACACACATTCCTGGTTTCATGGCCAGAGGTTTGGGAGAGGTTTGTTATACAACAGCAGGTAATCACAACAAAATTTAATATCTGGGGTTAGATTGCTGCTGTGACGAAAACTCAAAGCCCTGGCTATGAAGCTGGGTGATGAGTGAAGGCTCCAGGTGCCTGAGACCAACAGTGGAGGTTGCAAGGGCCTCCGAAGACTCTTGGAGACTCAGAGGACACGGAGAAAACCTAATGGAAACTGGAAACAGTGCCCAAGTCATGTCCTGGCAGGACAACTGGCAAGACTGTCGTCCGTGTCAATGAAGTACATGGAAAGGGTACCTGATGAACTCCTGGATCTGGAGAGGGCAGTTTCCAAGCAGGAAACAGAAGATGCTAACTGAATTTTTCTAGATGCCTGTGATAAAGGCTAAGCAGAAAGAGTTTAACTGAGGAAGAGGCTATTCTATCCTTTTGGAGGAGAATCGAGAGAGARAAAAAAAAAAAAACAGGGAGCCAGAAGCCACTCCCTAGAGGAGCATCTCTTCTTCATGGTCATCTATCCCCGCAGAAACCCTCACACCCAGGGCAGTGACATCTGGTTTCTGGATAAAGACTAGGTGGGGGACGAGGCTGTGAGAGTCAAGAAGGCATCAGGCATGTTCAAGGKAGGGCTGAAGAACATCTCGGAATCTTAAAACCTGCAGCCTCCCAGGGGACTAACGGCAGAGCAGGTCCTGTTCTCACGGAGATTGGGACATGTGGCGTATACAACAAGAGGCACGAGATTCGTCCCCAAGCAGCAGGATCAGACCCCCATTCAGGTGCCGGTGACACCGTCTCAAGTGATTTCTGAATGGCTGTGGACCAGTGACTGCCGCAGGACGCCTCTGCTTTCTCCCTGTCTGACCGGAGCATCTGGGCAGGTATTGCATTTCTGCCTCACCATGTATTTGAGTGTTCAGAGAACAAAAGGGAAGAGAGCACTTGTTTCTTCAGCTAACAGATCTTCACACTGAGAACTCCACGGTGGGAGACTCTCCCCCACCTCAGCCTGCTTGGAGGATGAGACCCAGGACCCTCAGCCTGGACCTGAGGCTGCCATGCGGTGAGACTCCCTGAGGCTTGGGGACGTTCCTGGGTATGTTTCATGTCGGAAGGATGCAAATAGTTTTTGGCCCAGGCTGTTTCTGACAGTGTGAATTAAAGATAGCCATAAATTCTCTGACATTTCCCTTACGGAGCGTTGAGATCTGCATCTCCTCACCCTTAAATCTGGACAAGATCCATGACTTCTTTATGGATGAAGAGAGTCTATGCGAGCTTCGGGTGGCCGGGATTCAGGCAGCTCTGAACTTCCTCCTCCTGTTCACAAAGCATGCTTCTTCCAGCCCCAGGCCACCATGTGGGACGTCTTCGCACCCAGAGACTACCATTCTGAAGGACAGCCCAAGCTAGCTTTGTGAGAGGCTGTCTGGTGATAGGGAGCACCAGAAGGAGGGAAGGAAAGAGAGAGAGAGAGGGGACACGAGAGGGGTGTGTCCAGCCTGTCCCAGCTACCTAGCCCCAGCCAGCTGGCCAGGGAACCTTCTGACCTGAGGCCTCAGGGGCTATCGGGAGGGACAAGCCACGCTGCAGTGCCCTTCAGAATTCCCAAGGCACGGAGCTGGATGAGGTAGTGAGAAGTTGCTTATTAAGCCACTTAGATTTTGTGTGATTTGTCTTTCAGCCACAGATAACTAGGCAAATTTACTGAAAAGCATGTCAAAAATATACTTTGAAGTGGAAAAGCTAATTGCAAAATAATATACATGGTGTTGTTTTTTTTAAAAAAAAGAGAGTTTGCTCTCTTTCATCCACGTGCATGGGACGTATTTGCCCGGAATGTAATGGGAATGGTCTCTGTGAACCAGGATCTCAGGGGCCTCTGCTTTTTAGATGAGCAGATACGAAGGCTCTACAATTCTGTTCTTCCATAAGAACATTTTTAATACTGGCTTTATTTTTTTAATGAGGAAAAAGTTCTTCGCTAATTTTATTTCAAGGT